GACTATGAATGTACTCTTAAACCAATATATACTTGTCAACCAAATGATACAGAGTCTTTTACTAATTGTTATCAGAAACATATACCTAATAATTTTTGTTATTATATTAAATATAGTAATGGTGATTATAAACCTCCTGTAACATATTCTGGTCCAAACGTAGCTCAAGTATTTTATGAATGTATGAAAAATGAAGAAATACTTATTTCTAAAATATATGATAAAATAGTTCCTATGAAAACATTGAATGTAGAACAATTAAATAATTATTATTATAAATCTGATAAATGTCATATTTGTGAAAGATATTTATCAGATTTACCTCCAATGTTAGAGAAAAAAATTAAAATAAGTAAAGACACTATTGAATATTATAAAGATACTATTGAATATTATAAAAATACTGATGTTAAAAATTTTAAATTGTATGAAGATGAACTTAAAATAATTAAAGACAATATTGAATATTATAAAAATACTGATGATGTTAAAAATTTTAAATTGTATGAAGATGAACATAAAATAATTAAAGATAATATTAAATATTATAAAAATACTGATGTTAAAAAAATTAAATATTATGAAGATAAACTTAAAATAATTAAAGACTCTATTAAATATTATAAAAAGACTAATGATGTTAAAAAATTAAAATTGTATGAAGATAAACTTAAAAAAATTAAAGATCCTATTAAATATTATAAAAAAGAATTAAATTTTTATGAAGATAAGCTTAAAAAAGAATTAGAAAATAAAAATAAAAATATGCGAAAAGTTCAGGATCATGACCATTTAACTGGAGAATATAGAGGAGCAGCACATTCTATCTGTAATCTTAACTACCAAAATCCACGTTTTATTCCAATTGCTTTTCATAATCTTTCAGGTTATGATGCTCATCTATTTATAAAAGAATTTGGAAACGATAATGAAAGAATAAAAATGATCCCAAATAATGAGGAAAAATATATTTCTTTTTCAAAAATGATGTCACGTGTAGTAACTAGGAAAGGTAAAAACATAAAAATATGTACAGAATTAAGATTTATAGATTCATTCAAATTTTCACCTAGTTCTTTAGAAAAGTTAACAAATAATTTAAGAAATGATTCGAAATTAAATTTAAAAAATAAATTTAAAGAACTTAGTAAATATTTTCCTGAAGAACATTTGAAGGGCTCCGTGCAACAACCAGACAAGTCCGGACTTGTCTGGTTTTTGCGCAGAACTGTTGGCTACACTGAAAAATAGTATATAGTTAGTAGATAGTACTATAATAGTAGTCATATTTTCCTTATTATCATTTATAATTATTATTATTATTATAAAAAAATTACCTATCATAGAATTAATCGTTACATTCGTTAGTATTTGGAATTTTGTTTCTATTTCTAGTCGTAAATAATAAGACTGATTATAAAATGTTAATGTTAATGTATTGTTTTTACTTTTATTTAGTTGCTGTAACGGGCATAGTGTTATTTATTTTCTTTATAGTTATTTTATTTTTCAAAATGAACTGTGATAATGTAGCAAAACAACTTGAATATGATGAATCTTTTTCTGACTCATCATTTGATGATGACATTCAAGATCCAGATTACATAATTATTGAAAATGACAAACTCGGAGGCATACTGGCTTTTGATTCTGACCCAGATGATAATTTTGAACTACTTCCAACGACACCCTCAGGATCAGTTAATATTATATCAGAATCCAGTGAATATGAACAACCTATATCTATTCGTAATGGTAAGAAAAGAATAAATAATAAATCAAATTGGAAACGTAAAATCACAAAAAAGAGTAGGTCTGATGGTATTGAACATAATTCTTTGCGTGACAAAATTGTTCCACCTAGAACTACAGGCCCTGACTGTCACTGTAATAAAGAATGTTTCACTAATGTATCGGATGACCAAAAAACCAACTTACTTGTAACATTTAATAATATAGGTGATAAGAATAAACAAGATACATATTTGGCTGGATTAATTAGGGTCAACCCTGTTATTCGTCAAAGGAAGAGAGATGGTAGTCGATCAAGTAAAACGTGTTCTGTAAAATATGAGATAAAAATTGGCTTAGAAATTATCCAAGTTTGCAAGAAGGCATTTTGTTCTCTTTTAGGAGTTGGAAAATCTAGAGTAGAAAGAATTATAAACAATTTGAAAAATAATGTTCCCAGCCCAGTGGATAAACGTGGTAAGCATCACAGTCGACCAAATAAAATACCTGACAATATATGTTTCCAATTAGATACGTTTATTAGTTCATTTCCTAAGAGACAATCTCATTACAGTAGATCTGACAACAATAATGTAAGATATATGTCTCCTGAACTTTCAGTTGCCAAATTATATAGAATGTATTTGGAAATATATGAACCTGATGTATATGCATTTTTAAACAGTGAAAATGGTGAACAAGTTAAACCTAAATTGAAATACAACTATTTTGCTAATTATTTCAATAGAAATTTCAACATATCATTTGGCACTCCCAGATCTGACACTTGTCAAACCTGTGATAATTTGAAAAAAATTATTGACAGTGAAAACAATGAAGAAGAAAAAGCTAATCTTGAAGTAGAAAAACAAATTCATTTGCGAAAAGCAGAAGTATTTTACACTTATTTAAAACAGTTATCAGCTGAAGCCAAACAAAATGATTCAATTGATGTTTTAAGCTTTGATTTTCAACAGAACATGCCACTTCCACACATCCCATCAGGAGATGTATTTTATAAAAGGCAACTTTGGTCATATAACTTTTGTATACATTCGGCGGGTACAGGCAAATCTCATTTTTATATGTACAATGAATCATCAGGTAAAAAAGGACAGAATGAAGTGATAAGTTTTTTACATCACTATTTCAAAAACAAACTAAGTCCAAGAATAAAAACATTATATTTATTTTCTGATAACTGCAGTGCACAGAATAAAAATAAAACACTATTTCAATACCTATCTGCTGTGGTCAACACTCCAACTTTTTCTATCAAATCAATTATTCACAGATATCCTGAGCCCGGGCAAAGTTTTCTGCCCTGTGATAGGTGCTTTGGGCATATTGAAAAAGTACGTCGACAAGTAGAAAGGGTATTTTTACCAGATGAATATGAAAAAATGGTTTCAGAAACAAATAAAAAATTTAAAGTTGTTCATGTTGATCAAAGTATGATTTTTGATTTTAATAGTTATCTATCTCCATTAGCTAAAAAAGTTATAACTAACAAAGAGAAAGTAAAATTTACTATTATGGCTTACCGATATGTTGAATATACAAACGAAGGCATTTTTTGTAGTACATCTGGAAATTCTACTGCTAAAGAAAAGTACACTTTAAATAAAACTGGCGAAGAACTAACTATAAATGAAAATGGACTATTAAGATTGTACAATGAACCCATTAAACTGAAACTGGCCAAATTCAATGATGTGACACAGTTAGCAAGCAAATATGTGCCCCAAGAATACCAATGGTTTTATATTGGACTTACTGCTGCTGAAGAAAGTAATACCAATAATAGTGATGGCTCTGACTATGAAAATTAAACAACACAAAGTTAAAAATATTTTATAAGTTTTTATTCTTACCTAACTAAATAAAATTTCATAAATATCATTAATTTTCACATTTTATTTGTTGACAATAATATTTTATACTTTTTTTTATTTTCATTTTTATTAGCCTCATGTTGAACAATATTGTATACTTATAATACAATCATTTTTTAGTAAATATTAATAAAATTTGTTAATATTATGTTTTTTTTATTACTAAAAGTTTAAATATTATGTTTATGATTTTTATTTGTCATATTGTTACTAGGAAAAGTAAAATACTATTTTAAATATTATAATATGTATTTCATTTTATTGTTTATTGTTAAATTTATTATGTTATTGATTTTGATTTTTAAGATTAATGTTTCAAGGTGATTTCTATTTTATTTTTTATTTTTTGTTAAAATAGTAATATAAATATTATTAAAAAAGTGTTTGTTATTATTTAATACTCTTCTTAAAGTAAATTAAAAAGATATATGTAGGTACTTAATAAAATATAACTAATAAAACATGTAATACAATATTTCAAAAAATACTTGATAAATATATAGATTATAGGTACATTAGTTGATGCTTAAACTTAGAAAAAAATAAATTATTATTTAGTTTTTGAAAAACCTTATGGCATATGATGTTATTACATAACATGCTTACGAGCAATAACCAGGTAAGTCCATATGTTTTATTTCAATACTAATTTTATCAAAATTTAATTTGATTATTTTATTGATTAGTATTATAATTATTTATAAAAGTGTCAATAAAGAGTTTTTACTATAGTTTATAATAAATAAGTAAATTTGTTTACAGTAAAATAAAAAACACAATAAATTTTCAAAAAAATGTTTACAATTAATGAGCATAAAACCAGGTAAGTCCATATGTTTCATACTTCCAAGCTATTTTAAAAGATCAGACATTTATTTAAAAAGCAATTTAACTTAACCCAACTATTTATATGTCATTAAAGATAGTAATGTCATATTTACAAATAAAAATATAAATTATTAAAGTTTTGGTGAAATAAAATGTCTCTCCTGAACAATTTCAAAAAGTGGACTTGTCTCGTTGTTGCACGGAGCCCTTCATTTAGATTTAGTTACTAGAAAGTTAGCATATCCCTATGAGTATATGGATTGTGAAGAAAAATTTAATGAAACATGTTTACCTCCTATTGAAAAATTGTATAGTTCTCTCACAGATAAAAATATAACTAAAGAGGCATATGAAAACTCACAGAAAATTTGGAAAGTGTTTAATATACAAAATATGCGTGAATTCACTAGTTTATATAATAACATCGATGTTTTATTATTAACAGATATAATAGAAAATTTTAGAGATATTTCTTTAAAAAATTATAAATTAGATCCTATGTGGTATTACACAACACCAGGATTTGCGTGGGATTGCATGTTAAGAATGACAAAAGTAAAATTAGATTTATTAACAGATGTCGATCAATTATTGATGTTTGAATCTGGAATCAGAGGTGGATTATCTCAATGTAGTCAAAGATATTCAAAAGCAAATAATAAATACATGGGAGATAAATTTAAAAAAAAGGATGAATCAATATTTTTAGAATACTTGGATGCAAATAATCTTTATGGGTGGGCAATGAATAAATATTTACCTACTGGAGATTTCAAATGGGTTGATAATCTGAATGATTTTGATGTAATGAATATTTCTGATAAATCATGTAAAGGTTATATTTTAGAAGTCGATTTATCTTACCCTAAAGAACTCCATGATCTACATTCAGATTTCCCTTTAGCACCAGAAAGACATTTTGATAACAAACAACTTCCAAAATTATTAACAACTTTGTATGATAAGAAAAAATATATAATACATTATGAAACACTAAAATTATATATTAATTTAGGTTTAAAGATAGAGAAAATTCATAGAGTATTAGAATTTAGTCAATCTCCTTGGTTAAAAGTTTATATTGATTTTAATACTAATCTTAGATCAGAAGCTAAGAATGAGTTTGAAAAAGAATTTTTCAAATTAATGAATAATAGTGTTTATGGACGTACTATGATGAATGTTCGAAATCATGTTGATATAAAATTATGTTCTAATGCAGCCCAACTAGAAAAATTAATTACAAAACCAAATTTTGATCGAAGGACAATTTTTACAGAAAATTTAGCTGCCGTACATATGAAAAGAACACAAATATCTTTCAAACAACCAATATATGTAAGAATGTGTATTTTAGATTTATCTAAAATGTTAATGTATGATTTTTATTATAATATTATAAAGAAAAAATATGTAAATAGAGTTGGATTGTTATATACAGATACAGATTCACTAATATTAGAAATAAAAACTAAAGATTTTTATCAAGATATGAAAATTATGTTAGATCATTTTGACACTTCAGATTATCCAAAAGATAATATTTATGGTTTACCTTTAGTTAACAAAAAAGTTTTAGGCAAGTTTAAAGATGAGTTAAATGGAAAAATAATGTCTGAATTTATAGGTTTAAGATCTAAATTATATTCTCATCGAATCTTAGATACTGAAAAAGAAATTAAAAAAGCTAAATGTGTTAAAAAAATGTTGTAGAAAATAAAATATGTTTTAATGATTTTGAAAAATGTTTACTAACAAAAGAATCAAAATATGTTAAACAAAATTTATTTAGAACTAAGAAACATGATATTTTTACTGTAGAACAAAACAAAAAAGCTTTAAGTGTTTATGATGATAAAAGATTTATTTTGGAAAATGGTATTAATACATTAGCTTGGGGACATTATAAAACAAACATAGATAGAAACGATTTTGTAAACCATCTCAATACACTGATTAGAAATCAAAATCAAAAAGATTAGAAAAATATTTTTAATAGAACAATGTTAAAAAAAATTTTTTACTAATATAAATAATAGAAATGGAAAATTGTAAAAAACTTTTAGAAATGGAAACTTGTAAAAATCATTGAGATATGATCCAAAAGTATAAAAATATACTAAAAGAGTTATCAGAAATTGAATCATCTATGTATAGTTTAGAAACTCATGTATTATCTTTATACCAATCTTATGATAATAAGTATAGTTACAAGCGTTACCAATCTTATGATAATAAGTATAGTTACAATCGTTACCAAAAAAATTTTAAAAAATTATTTGGTTATTTTAAGGAAATTCATAATGAATTAGCGAATTATATAATGAATAATTGGTTTCATAACTATATTTAATGTTCACTAGTTTGTTGTTAGATTTTTTTAATAGAACAATTCTATTAAAAATTAAATTAATATGCCTAACTTACAAATATTCTATTACATTTCGATTTTAATTATTAATATCATAAGTATTATGAAAAATATTTTGGGTGTATTTAATAAGTTTTGCGAAAAATGTTTTTATTATTATTGCATTTCGATTTTTATTTTTAATAATTAAGTTTTGCGGAAAATATTTTTATTATTATTGCATTTCATAAGTTTTGCGAAAAATTTTTTTATTATTATTGCATTTCAATTTTCTGATCTTTTTGCACATTGTTTTCTTTGTGATCTTTTACTGATATATTATGAGGTGTGCCAGGACTGGTATATATATACTACTCACGTCTACACCTGGTATGTAAGTTGTTAGTAATTGAAGTGTAATTAGATTCAGACATAAGCGTACACCATTGCTCTAAATTTAATGTAATAATTTTTTTCGTTAACTTGCACTCTAATAACACAATAATCGAAATTTGTTTGCTGATTAATAGGCCGACTGTAACACTCTTCTTACCAAATGGACGTATGTCAAATACCGATTTTGATACAATTACCGGTAGACCCATAACGAATTAATTTACAGTATTTACTTAATACATTTTGAACATACTGATTACCCTTCATTAATAATACATATAAACATCTTGGACTGAATCTGCAATGTTCAATCCATGGGTCGTCCAGCCTTTAACAGTTATGAAGAATAAGACCACAACAAAAGCATTCCACGACATCATCCACTCCTGAATATTTTAAGCCACATTCGGACAATGTATAGTTATTTTGAGAAGTATTTAACGGGAATAATTTGAATGTTTTAAATCTTGATGCAAACGATGAAAATTTTGGATAAACCATGGTCGGATTATTTCGTATACGATAAACTAATGATTCAAAATCATTCGGACATTTTTGAAAATTCATTTTTGAAGAAATTAAATAACTTATACAATGTTATGAAACTTCAAGAAAATAAAGAAAAATGAGACACGACTTAAGTGAACGGCGGATCATTAGTAACTGAATATGAGAAAATGATCAGCTTATAACTAAAAATTGTATACATTTTTTTAGAAAAATACCGACATTCATTAATTAGATCAATTGCAGAGCAACCAAATGTAAATGCGAATATAGTAATTATTATTTCATTTTAGTAATAAGGTTTGTTGAGAAAAAAAACATTTAGTGTGTACACGGTAAATATTTGGACAAAACTGACTTTGAGTGTGCAAATTCTTCATAATTTTTACACGGTAAAATTATTGTGTCCAAGGGGGACATCCTCTCTTGAACGTTGTGAAATTACCGTGGTGACACAAAAAAAAGACTGTGAACATACAAATCTATACTACTGAGTAAAGCACCATATGTAGACTGCCCGGGGATTTTCATTTTGTATGAAAGTTTTTAGTCCAGAATAAACTCCTTGCATGGACGCAGCCCCATCGTATGCCTGAGCACATAATTTGTCTTTCCAGTTGATTTGGTATTTTTCTAAGATAGCACAAAATGTATCATACGTTCCTTTACCAGAAGCATCTGAAGCTGCTTCCAAACATAATAACCTTTCATTTATTTTGCCTATAAAGAAAAATAATAATATTTTTTTATAAGAGACTCTAAAAGCTAAAAAAAAGTTGTACCACTTGTACATTATTAAGTGTAGTTATCTAATATATTTAAAATTATTTGTTTTGCTTTTGTTTTAAAATTACCTTCATGCACATATCGCACTATAAGCGAGAACTGCTCTATATTAGAAATGTCAGTAGTTGTATCAATAATAACAGCAAATAAATTAGCGTTGATCAAATCTTTTATTATAACCGAACGTACTTGATTTCCAAGAATATGTAAAAGATTGTTCTGACTTTCATGTGACATGAATGTTAAACGATTCTTTTTATCTTTTTTCGACCACATTTTGTCTAAGTGAGCCATGAGAGCTCCATGATAGTTGCCAAGTAATTTAAGTATTTCAATAAAATTACCTACAAACAATAATGAAGATATGACTAAAAAATTGTTTAAATCTTCATTCTTCAGTATATCTCCTACCATTTTAATTATGAAAATATAAATTAATAATTATTATAGTTTAAACTATGAGCACAAAATATAACTAAAAACTACAACTTTTTATTTTACCTTGATTAAGTGAAGATATTGTTTCATCGTGACCCCGCAGAGCTATATTTTGTCTAGCAGCTAGAATTAAAACTTTAATAATAGTTCGAACAATTTCTCGGTTCTCTGAAATCTTTGCATGACTAGAATGACGTAGAAGCATATCAATTCTTATATTTTTTGAGAACAGACTACGACTTATTTCTGCTTGTAAGTGCTCCGTACTATGGGCATGATTATTTAAATTTCTGTTTAAATTTTTCCAATCATTAGAACCTTGATGAGCAAGAGGCAGTTTTTTTGCTTTAGTTAAGCCAAACAACTTGCATGAAATACAAAAAACTTTGTCTAATGATGGAGAGTAATACAACCAAGTTCGATTTACTGGAGAATTATTTGTCACTGATTTATAATAATATGATTGATGAAAAAATCTTAATCTTCCAGATGAATCTTTTGTTTTAGGAAAAACTTTGTTTGGCAATTCCCATGGTGATGGCTGGCAAGGTCCATATTGCATAATAAAACATAACATTTCATTTGAGATATTATTAAGAAATTTGCCTGGATCATTTGGAAATAACTCTGGTACAGAAACTATAAAAATTAAAAAGTAAAAAGTTAATTCAGTTAATCGTAATCTCAATAATAATATAAATATAAAATAGGTACTAGATAATAATTAATTAGACCATTAAAAACAATTATTAAGGACAATATGACAATACAGATACACACTTTACACTTGCATATTATTACAGCTTATGCTGAACCATTTATTTTTATATTATAGCAGGCGTTATTAACTTATAACTTATAATATTATTTAATGCTATGGTATCCTTGCCTGATTTATTGAAATTGAATATGAAGAAATAATTAATATATTTTAATAAAAAATCATACAAATATTTAGATTTTAAATAATTACCTGGTAAAACACTTTCAGTAGAAAAAGAGCAAGAAGGTATGTCATCTACCACATTCTGTAAGGCTTCAATAGTGTCCAATGCTATGGTATCCTTGCCTGATTTATTGAAATTGAATATGAAGAAATAATTAATATATTTTAATAAATAATCATACAAATATTTAGATTTTAAATAATTACCTGGTAAAACACTTTCAGTAGAAAAAGAGCAAGAAGGTTTGTCATCTACCACATTCTGTAGGGCTTCAATAGTGTCCAATGCTATGGTATCCTTGCCTGATTTATTGAAATTGAATATGAAGAAATAATTAATATATTTTAATAAATAATCATACAAATATTTAGATTTTAAATAATTACCTGGTAAAACACTTTCAGTAGAAAAAGAGCAAGAAGGTATGTCATCTAAATAAATATGTTTGGATAATGTAGTTGAGTATATAAAAATTAATAGGTAGGTAAACATAATTGATACATATTATTATAAAATGTTATTACTATTATTATACTGTAAGTTGTAACAATGTAATATAAACATATTATACAAGATACAACTATAAAACATTAAATACAAAAATAAATACTTACTGTTATTAATACTGATGAAAGATTTTTCGGTCAGTGCTGGTTTTTTTGTCAAATTATCCTTAGATCCACTAACGATAAAAAATTGTTGAATAGAAACATTTGATACACGATTCTTTCTCTTCTTGCATGATCGCAAATGTAAATCACGATTATGTTTGTTCATTAATAAAATATTTTTACCACAGTGACATACACCTCTTTCAGACATACTTAATAAATATAATCTTAATAATTAGTTGTTTTCAAACCTTCTAAATTTCCATCCTGGTTCTCTAAAAATCTAAAAAACATTGTTTTTGCCAAGAAAGAAATGCACGCTAAATACAAAGCATCACGTAACCCTGTTGACTATAATAAGTTCTCTAACCTGCGCGCTCAGTATAAGTATTATTATAAAAAGTGCTATAAAACATTTCTGGATAACACTGAAAACATGCTTAAAGTTAATTCTCGTCTATTCTGGGACTTTGTACGTAAGCGTAGATCTAGCAATGGTATTCCCAACTCTGTTCACCTCAATGATCTAAGTGCCACTGGTCCTGAATCCATCTCCAGTCTTTTCTCATCTTACTTTAACTCAGTCCATGTGCCTTCCTCAGCAAGTAGCCTACCTGTTTTTCCATTTGCGCAGCATACTTTACCTTCTGACTGCATCTTTGGTATCGATGATGTCGAGAACGGATTAGCTGCACTAAAAAATGTGCCTTCCGTCTGAGTGCACATGGTCTATCTGGGACTTTTTTGTATAACATCAGGTCTGTCCTCTGTTTTCCTTTATGGTTACTCTTCAGGCGTTCAATGGATGATGGAATTTTTCCATCAATGCTTAAAATCAGCTCAGTCACCCCTGTGTTCATATCTGGTGACAAATCTAACGTCACGAATTATCGACCCATGTCGATTCTAAGTCATATTGCCAAGCTTTTCGAACACTTAGTTCTGCAATCCATTCAGCCCTCGGTTGACTCTGTACTAGTCGACGAACAATATGGTTTCCGACCAGGACGTTCTTCCACTTCGAACCTAATTGTGTTTAATAATTTTGTCCTTGAGGCATTTGAAAATCGCTCCCAGGTAGACGTGATTTACACTGATTTTGTGAAAGCATTTGACCGTGTCGACCACGCTATCCTCATTGACATCCTCTTTAAGTCCGGTTTTGGCGAACCTATTTTGTCCTGGTTTAAATCATACCTGTCCGATCGTGTCCAGTGGGTTAAAGTGCTTGGATCAAAATCTGCTGTCATCCCTGTTCCATCTGGTGTTCCCCAAGGTGGTCACTTGTCTCCCCTACTTTTTTCTTTATTTATAAATGGAATTACGAAGGCTGTTCCTAAGTGTAGATTCCTTATGTTCGCTGACGACCTGAAACTTTTCCGAAAAATCGAATCTGAAGCTGACTGTCACGCCCTTCAGAACGAGTTAGATTCCATTAGCTTATGGTTTAGCACTCTTGGCCTCCAATTTAATACAAATAAATGCAAAGCTATGTCCTTCACCAGGCGCCGGTTGGTATTCGATTATTCTTACACTATCAATGGTTCAGTGATTGATAGAGTTGCAAGCAATAGCGACTTGGGCGTTCTTTTCACTGCCGATCTGAACTTCTGCCCTCACATTGACTCCATCTGCTGCCGAGCCCTCAAATCGCTTGGCTTCGTAATGTGCACCATGAATGAGTTCAAGCTGTCTGGATCTCTCAAGACAGTCTACTGCTCTTTAGTCCGAAGCATGCTAGAGTATGCGTCTGTGCTCTGGGACCCATTTGTGGTTATTGATTCTTGCCACTTAGAGCGTGTACAAAGGCGCTTTCTGCCATCTGCAGCTTACATGCCAAAAATTGTCCATCCTCCTCACGACTATACTCCAGTATTGCGCGCACTTAGCCTTACATCTTTAGCAGATAGGCGCGTTAAAGCTAATCTGGCCTTTTTAAAAAAGTTAATCGATGGTTCCTTAAATGCCCCTTCACTGCTTATCCAAGTAAACTTTAAAGTTCCACATCGGGCCACAAGGTCTCGAGTTCCTTTTACTGTACCTCTCCACTGTACCAATTACGGTAAAAACAAACCAATTGACCGCATGATGCGGTTGGCTAACGAGGACCCCTCCTTTCTCAGTTTACCTTAATATTGTGTTATTTTTGTACATTTATTGTATGTAATTTTACTTGTGTCCTAATTATTTTAGTTTATATTTATTGTGCCTGTTATTCTGCTGTATTTTTTGGCCATCGCCCTTGTATATGTTAGCTATCTTATTTTACTGATTATTATTATGTTCTGTACTAAATAAGGAATTTTTTATTCCGTGAATTAATTAATAAATAATAAATAATAATAATAAATAATAATAATCGACAGTTATTATGAAAAAAAAAATTTAGTTATGTACGATTTACTATTTAGTTTTCACTGCTATAATTTTAGACTATGACACTATGTTTACAACAAAAATGTAGTAGGTAAAATGTTAATTTTTTTCTTTATTGCATGATTCCCGCCGTTTTTTGAGACCGTTGGTACATTATTAACATACTTAATAAATAAATCAGTTTCACCAGAAGATTTTCTAGAATTTAGCTCATTTAGTATTGATTTTAGGTGTTGGCGTTGAAGTAATGTGCGATCCGTAGAAATACTAACATTTTTAAAGTTTTCAGATTGACGTAATTTGCTTTTGTTTTTCAACAAATTAAAAACATCATGTTGGTGAGGTAACGTAATTCGAATTGGTCGACATTGATTTGAGACCTTGCCCAGGCGCAGTAAGTTAAATGGAATAACATCAGTGTCAATATGACGAAACACTTCGATTATAGATTGCATATCAAATGGTTTCAAATGATGTTCAAGCATCAAGGATTATAGTCTAATAATCAGGCGGCGAAACGATTGCGGGCTGGACCGTCCTGACGATTTGCGGGGCCTAAAATATCATTATGGGTATATAAGCTATACAGCGAGGCAAAGGTGCAAATAGACTTAAAGTATATTACATAAGTGCCTCAAACATTCTTATAGGGTGGGGGGGGGGGAAATGTTAGGATTTAAGGACTTTTCATTTTGTTAGTATATACTCATTAATCCTAATACATGCTGCAGTTAAAAAAAATGTCCGAAAAGCCAGGGGGGCAAATGATCCAGCTTGCTCCCCCCCTTTCTGGGAGTTTATGGTACATTGTACCTCAAACAATATTTATTATTTATTATTTTATTTATTTCAACTTACAACATACTACATTGGTACATATTATCACATAATATTTACATTTCACATATTAAGTTGATACCTACTCCCTGTAAGCGAAGCTTGTGGCGGAAGTAGGGAGTCTTTTACAAAAAAATCTTAATAGTATATATAAGGACTGTTAAACAGCATTATATAATTAAATTTTTATAAACATAAATTAAAC